ATATATATTTAAAAATGGCATTAATTTTGCAATTAATAATATATAATTTTTTTAAATGACATTAATTTAAATTAAAATTACTTAAAAAAACAACACAACACACGATATTATTATTCATCAAACCAACTCAACACACATAAATTATTGAAACGTACCACAAAAAAACACACTAAACATTAGAAAATTAGGAAAAAACTTTGAGTCTAATCGAGGGTCGTTCCAAATTTCTGCCAAATGTGCTCAACGAGATCCCTCTTCAACTGAATATGTTGGGCCCTATCACGAAGTTCGCCCCTGGTGTGAATGTCTGATTCGGATCGGCCTTGAACATGCACTTCAAACTCGGGTAACACTTGCGTTTGAGCATTGAAAGAAGAGCTAGAGGCACCATTGTTAGGCTGTTCGAAGTCCAGATTCTCCCAGTTCCGTGAATACGTTTCCCGTTCATCCTCTACTATCATATTATGTAAAATAATGCACGCCCTCATTATTTTACCCAAGACTTCAAGATCCCACATTCTAGCTGGTTGACGAATAATAGCGAAACGTGCTTGGAGAACCCCAAATGCACGTTCCACGTCTTTCCTGCATGATTCTTGTTGTTTGGCAAACAATTGTGCTTTGTTCCCTTGGGGCATTTGAATTGACTGGACGAAGACAGGCCATTTGGGATAGATTCCATCAGCAAGATAGTATGCAAGATTGTATTCCCGGCCATTCACTATGTAGTTCACCCGCGGAGCTTCACCGAACACAATATCGTCAAATACCGGTGACCTATCTAGTACATTTATGTCATTTAACGTACCAGGTAAACCAAAGAAAGCATGCCATATCCACAAATCATATGACGCAACTGCTTCAAGGATAACAGTAGCGGTGCCCTTGTGTCCACTAGTAAATTGCCATTGCCAAGCCTTAGGACAATTCTTCCACTGCCAATGCATGCAATCGATACTTCCAATCATACCAGGGAAACCACGCTCCTGATCAACTTTGAGTAACCTCTGCAAGTCTTCCACATTTGGTCGTCTCAAGTATTCATCTTCAAACAAGGCAATTACTCCGTCACAAAAATTTCTAGTACACTCAAGTGCAGTTGTTTCCCCTATCTTGACGTACTCATCACAAGCATCTGCTGCAACTCCATATGCGAGCATGCGTATGGCAGCTGTACACTTCTGGATAGGCGTCAAACCAAGCTTTCCTGCATTATTGCGCCTTTGTGTGAAGTAGTTGTCGTAGTTTGACAAAGAGTCTACAATTCATAGAAACAAAGGCCTTTTCATTCGATACCTTCGTCGGAACTGCATATCAGTGTATGTGCAGGACTCATCAAAGTAGTCTGCCATGAGCCTCTGATGAGCAGCTTCATGATTCCTATATATGGAGTTTCTCTTACGCGGTTGCTCGTTTCTACTTTGCAACTCTTCAAGAAGTTTTTTCTGCCTTTCGAGTATGGCTTTTTGCATCTCGAACTGTTGTCGAAAGTACTCTTCGAAATTGAAGTCATTTGGGGGTAGATCCATTGGTGGATAAGTGTTGATAATGAGTGGTTTTCATATGATGTGTGGTTTCCTATTTATAATGAATGACCTCCGGATTCAATCATTTTATTTAACAATATTGAATGTAAAGATTGGGTATCCAATAATGTAAATTCACATGTTGATGTCGGAAGTTAGTGGGTAGTGGATGGACAAGTGACATTCAATGTCAGAAGTTAGTGGGTGGAATAGCCACGTTCAATTTTTGTAGTATAGTGGATGGACAAGTCACATTCAATGTCAGAAGTTAGTGGGTGGAATAGTCACGTTCAATTTCAGAAGCATGAAACACACATTACAATAATTGAAACAATAGTGCAACACAGATTATGCAAATTTTTCTTCAAACAACTCCTTCTTCAACATCCTATATGCATATTCATCTTCATCATCCCGATCTTCTTTGTTCTTCAAGATCATCCACATTTTCATCTTCTCAATACGTGCAACTTCCTTCTGACCTGCAGCAAACTCCAGCATGGCGGAAACAGTATTAGCCATGTTCTGTTCAATGTTGTCATTCTTAGAGGTTAATTTCGACAACTCCTCTTCAATGGAGAATTTTGCTTTTCTAGAAGTGGATGCTTTACTTGAGGAAGCTTTAGATTTCTTCTTCGATGCATCCCTCCCCTCTGGACGTACAAGTGAGGGGAAAGGAGATTCAACGTCCTCACCACTACTTTTTCTTTTAGATCCACTACTGCCAGATTCATTTGCTCCTGTCATATATTTTGGTTGATGACGAACTAGCTTCCACTCATCCAACAACGTAAACCTCGCATTTTCATTCTCTTGGTACAACTCTACAGCCTTGGATATGTAATTCTCATCGGACCAACCGCTTCGCCTCTCCTTGCATGCAGCACGATAACAACCAACAAAGCTGCTTATCTTTTTATTCAAATGTCGAAAATGAGCAGAACACCGCCCTGAAGTCCTCTGTTTCCCACTTTGTGTGCGCTCGTTCACATAGTCTGTAATTTTACCCCAGAAAGTATCGCCCTTTTGATTTATCCCCAATTCACTGTCATTGCTAACATGAAAATAAGCCGTTAGTAAGATTTTGTTCTCCTCGGTGCTCCAAGTATCGTAACTTGTTCTCTTGGCTGATTGTTGAGTTGGTGGTAGAAAACTATGGGGAGTATCCCCTCCAGCAGTTTCCAACGAAATCTGGGTGGAAAATTCTGGAATATCAGTCGATCCGCTACTGAAACGGGGTGTGTTTGGATCAATAGTCGGATCTGTGCTTGGATCATTCATGTGGCCTGGAACATAGCTATTTCCAGTGACTGGTGGATAGCCATATGGCATATAAGGATGGTTGTATGGGTATTGCATGCCAAAATTTTGTGGCATCATATACGGCATTGGAAAATTGGGGTGCAGCCCCATATTCTGAGTACTTTCCGGGCGTTGCATATTTGGATTTTGAGGTTGCATATTCGAATTCTGGGGTTGGTTGGGAAAGTTGTAGTTCATGGAAAAATTAAAATTTTGTGAAGGATCCATGAAGAAGGATGAAGATTCTAAAAAATAATGAAAATAGGGTGTAAAAAACTCGAATTTTTTTTGTTGTCCAAATGACACAAACTTAGGCTCTATTTATAGAGCTCGAAAAATGAAAAATATTGATATAAAAATTAAATATCAATTTCAGTCAATTATGGGCCAAAATATTAAATTAAATAATATTTATTTTAGTACACTGGTGGACCGTGCTTTTCTTTTACTTTTTTTTTTATTTCTAGTACACTGGTGAGACCGTGCTGTGCTTTTAATTTTTTTTTTTTTGATTTCTAGTACACTGGTGGGACCCACACATTTAGATTTGCCCATGGGCAATTTTTGCTCTCCAAAACTTTCTCTCTCCGGTTGCTTTCCATTTGCTTCCCTGCTGTACAAAATATTTCCTCATTTGCTCTCCTGCTGCTGATGGTCTCAGAGTCAATAGAATATATAATATATAAAAATTTCTACCCTAAACATAAGCTTGAATAAAAAAATTATCAAAATATAAATTTCAATGTCAAAAGGAACATACCTGTTGAAGGAGATGAAATTGCTAAAAATTATGTAATTTCTTAGTTTATATATAGGCATGAGCTGTTATATGTGAGAGGATAGCATTTGCAAATAGAATTCTTTTTGGATAACAATTGTAAAGTTTAGTGTAGTTCATCAACTTATAAAAGAATTTCTTATGTATATTTATGAGTAGTTGGATAGATTCGGTTCATGGATCTTCTAGTACACTTGAATTCTCAATTAAGTTATATTCTATTAAATACAATCATCTCATGCCCACTTGGAAACAATATGCATGCAAATGTTAGTAACCTAAAGATAATTAGATCTTGATACATTTTATTTGTGGTTTAATAAATAGATTTTGAATTCCTTGAAAATACATTTTATTTGTGGTTTTATAAATAGATTTTGAATTCCTTGAAATTCCATCCATCTAGTTAGTTAAACGGAAGCAAAGGGGATGATTTTTAGTGTTGGTTTTTTAGGTATTTTATAATACTTACGTGTTATAGAATATAATTATAATTAGGATAGATTAAAATATAAATAAAATATTTAGAATAGTAAAGGATAATATTGACTATAGAAAGATTTTTTCGAACTCGTGCTTTTAAAGAGAGTATGATTATAATTAAACATAATTTAACTTTAATTAAACATAGAAAGTTAAGTTATGATTATAATTAAACATAACCTAACTTTAATTAGAAAATTCTAAATACAACAATTCTAGGAATTCCTACCAAATTGGAAATAATCCACAACCGCCGCAATGAGCTTAAGGGGCTGTTTGGTTGTATGTTTTTACCATGTAAAAGGATGGAAAGTGTAAAAAAGTGGATCCCAATATCAGCTTTCATCACTTTCAATTGTTTGTTTGTAGTTGTGAAAATAGTGTAAAGTGATTTCATATGCTGATGTGGCTTGTAAAGTGATTTCATAAAAAAAAGACATGATTTTAGGAGAAAGCTGACATTGAAGTCGGGAAAAAATAATAAAAAATAATTCCAACCAATATGATCATTTAAGTATGGACCACTTTTTACACTTTCCAAACAAACAATTAAAATTACATTTGCAAACCAAACAAGCAATTTATGATTCCAATGGAATAAAAAACAAACAAAGAAAAGTATAAAAGTGAAATTGATAAACGCCTCTAAAAAGAGGCGTTTTGGGCAGAAAGCCTGCCAAAAGTGCCCTTTTAGCAGGCTTTCTGCCCAAGACCCAATGCAAAATACTTAAACTAAACGGCCCCAAGTGTCCCATGACCAAGTGCAGTCACCACGCGTCACGCGTAAAGGCCGCGCGTTTGCCACGTGTCACTGCTTCCCTCTCGTCCCATTCTTGCATCTCGATCCTTAAATTTCTTGCTCTCTCATTCCCGAGTCCGATCCTCCTCCGCTGATCACTGACCAGAAGCAAAATCAGCAAGAACAAGGAAAGCATCATGGTGGTGTCATCGACGGCAAATGATCCCGGCGAGTCACTGCACGCCACGTTCGGCTCAAGATACGTTCGTAGCTCGCTCCCAAGGTCTCTCTCTCCTCTTCTAAGCAAATGTGAAAGTATTTGCACTTAAATACCCCAAAGATTACCTCAATGTTAACTCTTGACTCTCCAAAGTTTTTTCTTGGCCACATAACTAAAAAAAAAAAAGGAAAACAAACTCGATCAAAGTTCAATTTAATTTTGATGTCCTAAAGTTTTCTTGCTCCTAAAGGGTACCCCAAAGTTCACCATAGTTTAACTTTGATATCTCATACTTAAAACTCTTCGTTAAAATTTTGTTATAAGTTTGGGTATATATCAAACTTAAACCTTTGTTAGACTTTAGGGGTACCAAAGTTAAAAACAATAATAATAATAACTTTGTAGTCTTTTTTGTACAAAAGAAAACTTTGGGATATCAAAGTTAAAAACAGAACAAAGGTTGGTGTTGTCATTCATTAGATACAAATAACCCAAAAATTAATTGAAAACTTTATTTCACAATTATTTTTTCTGTGTTGTTAAAGTTAAAAGTTAAGTAAAAAAACTAAAGGTTCAAGATCATGGCGATAATACTTTGTTTTTCTTGGTGTTAGATGTATAGTTATTTCAATATTTACTATAACTTCAAAGTTGTTTAGTAGTGAAATTTGTACCAACAGAGACAAAATTAAGATGGTAGAAGAATTCAGGTTTAGATTCAAATCTGATTCAAACCGATTAAACTGATCGAACTGACTGATAGTCAGCAGATCGGTTTGGTTTTAGGATATGCGTTAATCGATCCGGTTTGAGAAAATTTCAACCCAAAACAAACTAACCGGTCGGTCGAACTGACCACTTTCTTAAGTCCTGAAAACAAATTCCTTTTTTGTTTTCATTAGTCAGCTAATTTCCTTATTTTTTTCCTTAAAAATGTCAATTATTTCAATGAGTTTGCATCATTCTTTTGTCGATCCCTTAATACATATTTTTTTGGCACCATTTTTGCAACATGTCTTTCTTTTGGTTCAAAATAACTTTTTTTTTTCTTAATTAAATGAGTCCACTCCAAAACTGAATAAACCGAACCAAACCGACTGAGCTAATTTCAGCCGATTTAGTTCGTATTTGAATATAGAATGGTCCTGTTCGGTTTTGTCAAAATTACTCAAAATCAATCGAACCGATCTTTTGCTCACCCCTATTCAAATCCATTAATTAGATATCTTTTTATTGAACAATAAACAGGGAGAAGGTGTATTCCTCGATGCCCTTAGGGAGTCTAAATTGTGGAGAATGCCTACAATTTAATTATGAATCTCATACTATCGGTTTATCGCAGCAGATCCCACAATTAAAAGTTTCTATATAATTTAGATTATCAATATCATTTATGGGGTCCACTGAATGAGGGGATTTGGTTGGTGAGTTATAGAGATTCTCTACAAGACGCAGAGGATCTCTACCCACACTTAGAAAGTGTTAGACTACAATGCTGCACATAGATCTAGAGCTCCACAGTCCGAATCATAATTGATAGGCAAATCATAATTGATGGAATGAAGATGGAATGAATGTGCATCACCTCAAAAACACGTCTGTTGGCTATATTGTGGGAGAAAAATGCAATTTTGCCTTCATGAATAGTTCCACATGAGCTAAGGAGATGAATAGTAGAGGGTTTATAATGGTTCTCCTCTTACTAGGCTTTGAATAGTGTTTTGGGCTTTGTATTGTCTGGGCTTTGCATAACACGCGCGTGTACGCACGCATTGCCTCACCGCACGCGCACGCGTACGTTTTTTTGTTTTGTCACTTTAATTTACACGTTTTTCATATGTGTAACAGCTGCGCAATTTCAGAGATCATGCAAACGGATGAACGTGCGTAACGACTGGAGATCATGCGTGAAGTTGTGCAGATTATTAGAAACGTGCGTGAATTTTGCACAACGTCTCTCACGGTTCCGACCCCTATGTAAACATCCTAAGACCCTATTCAGAGGCACAACAACGAAAATAAAAGTTCTCTTCTTTTTCTCAAAAACCAGAGCTTTCTTTGTTTCTTCCTCTCTCTAAAATTCCTCGGTTATTGTTAATTTTATTTGGACAACTATCTTCATCTGAGCAGAAGCTCTGCACTCTCGTCCGAGTTCAGAGGTCGGTCGATTTCGAGGGTTTTACCGCTAGGGGAGAGAAGATCATCTGCGTCAGAGCGATAGACGGGTCCTTAATGTTCTAGGACAGTGTTTACACGACTGATCCCGATCAGGCCAGATTTTCTTGTTTTTTTAATTCGGATTTATTCATGCTATAACCTTATTTTGATTATTATCTAACAATCTAGAAGATTAATGATATAGTTGTTATTTTAAAATCCGGGGGGAAAATTATAGTCACTGTTTTTAAAAAATTACAGTCACTTTTTATTAAAAAATATTTTACCGTTTATCCTTGAAATTTGCAATTACTGTCCATCTGAAAATTTAAAAAATATCATTACTGTTTGTTCATCCAAATTTTCTGTTACGGTTCATTTAAAATTATTGTTTTACTGTTTATAAATTAATAAAAAACAATTATTCTTGCTATCTACTGTTTAGAATCATATTTATATCCTTTGTTCATTTCTTTTACTGGCTCATAAATAATTTTGCATCAAACTCATCCTTTTAAAGTCATAATCTCCAAAGTAACTAGTCGAGTGGTATTGACAAAACCCTTTTATTCTATCAGATTTTAAATACCTAGACTAGTTGACTTTAAATTAGACTTATGACTAACATTGGCCATTCCAAGAGTGTCAAAGCTGAGAAGTACCGGAGTTAACTACAAACGGTGGACTAATCAGATGAGATACTGGCTCACTACCCTAGGCCTATTATCTGCTATAAACTCCTGATTCTTCTTCTATTGGTTCTCATCCCTTGACTCTCGATCATGAACAACCTACTCCTTCCACTTCTGCTTCTGGTGCTAGTTCCTTCTCTAGTCATATGAAACCAGAAGAAATAAACTATCATTGTTACCGTAGGATTCTTAGTGCGCTTGCGGTCAACCTTCATGATATATATTATGAGTTCAAAAGTGCTAAATACTTATGGAATGCTCTTGAGGCAGAATGTGGCTATGATGATGCCGGAATTCTGCCTTTCACCTCCTCTTCCTTTAATAAGTTCATGATGATTGATAACAAACCCATAAATGAATAAATTCATGAATTTCAAGATTTCCTTCGTCACTTCCAATCAAAGGGAAACTTCTTTACTGATGACTTTAAAGTTTCTTGTTTGATTGATAAACTCCATTCCTCCTGGTCTAGATTTGCTGGAGATATCCGGCACAAGCAAAAAGATCTAACCTTAACTGAAGCCCTTAATGCTATTCGTATTGAAGACTAGCATAGGCAAAAGTCCAAAACCAAGACTAAAATAAAAGATAAAATGAACTTGGTAGAGGATAAGCCTAAATCTAGGAATTTCAAACCCAAAGGGAAGAAATTCAAGAAAAACTAGCAATCCTTCAAATCTTCCTCCAATTTAAACAACAATCCTTCCAGTCATAAGTCTGATGGAAAGTTCTGCTATATCTGTGGTAGAACCAACCACCTGACTCCTAACTGTTTCTATCGAAAGAAGGAACTGACTAAACCTGCCCCAAAGGGAAATGAATCTAACAAAATTAACATGATTGAAAAAAATCCAAATTCCTTTAGGTTAGCCTCTTCATCCTATCTTGTAAATTCACTTACTTCTTCCACTGATTGATACTTAGATTCCAGAGCTAATATTCATATTTGCAATGATTGCTCTTGGTTTTCAACTTACCAGGAATCATGTGGAGGAAGCATAAGTTTAGCAGATGACTCCACCAAACAAATAATGAGAAATGGATGTATAGAGCTCACCATGACTTCTGGAAAAACTCTAAATCTGTAAGGTGTTCATCATGTTCATTCTCTCCGCCAAAACTTGATCAGTGAATCTCTTCTCCTTAGAGATGGATTTAGGATTGTAAAAGAATCCAATAAATTTATGATTATAAAGAACAATATATTCATAGGAAAAGATTTTACTTGTAATGGTCTTTTCAAACTCAATATAATCAATTCTAGTTCTAATGAAATTTCCGAGTCTTCCGTTGCACAAATTGTTGAGTCTTGTGATGTTTGGCATGGAGGATTTGAACATGTTAATTTTCAAACCTTGCAGAGAATGATTAAATTGAACCTTATTCCTAAATCTTCTCATGATCCTTCATCTAAGTGTGAGATTTATGTTTAAGGAAAACACACTAAAAACCCTTTCAAGTCTATAACTAGAAACTCTGAACCTCTCGAATTAATTCATAGTGATGTGTGATTCGAACCGAGTTCTTACCCGAGAGAGTAGGAGATATTTTGTGATTTTTATAGATGATCACTCCAGATATTGTTACACATATCTTCTCAAAACTAAAGATAAAGTTTTAGATAGGTTTAAGATGTATAAAGCTAAATCTGAGAACCAACTTGACAGAAAGATCAAGATTCTAAGATCTGATCGTATGGGATTATACCTCAAAAGAAATGACTGAATATTGTCAAGAACACGATATTATTCATGAGGTAACTGCTCCATATACATCACAGTCTAATGGGGTAGCTGAATGAAAGAACAAAACCCTTATGGACATGGTGAACTGTATGTTACTCAGTTCAGGAACACCAGAGTGAAGCTCTTATTTCTGCATGCTTCATTTTTAATAGGACTCCCCATAAATATTTTGATATAACTTCTTATGAATATTGTAAGGGGAGAACTCCTAGTCTGAACTTCTTCCGAGTTTGGGGTTGTTTGGCTAAGGTAGCTATTCCCTAACCTAAGAAGAGAAAAATTGGTTCTAAAATTGTAGATGATGTTTTTATTGGATATGCACTAGATAGCAATGTTAATAGATTTCTAGTCATTCTGAAATCAGTGACATATCCAACAATATTATAATTGAAGCAAGAGATGCAGTCTACTTTGAAAACATCTTTCCTTTCAAATCTAAAATCTTAGAAAATCCTATATCATCTCTTCCTTCCGATCAACTATCTTCTAGTTCTTTTTAGCTCTTGATATTGAACCTCGAAGAAGTAAAAAAGGTAGAATTCAAAAGTATTTTGGAGAATATTTTTTTACCTTTCTTGTTGAAAGTGATCTAAGCTTTTTTAAGAAAACAATGGATTCACCTGAATCTCCTTTCTGGAAGAAAGCCATTGATAATAAAATCAAATCTATCTTGGAAAATCATACTTAAATACTCACCGACTTACCTCCAGGCTGTAAACATGTTTGTTGTAAGTGGATATTCAAGAAGAAACTTAGAGTTGATGGTTCCATTGATAAATATAAAGGTAGATTAGTAGTTAAAGACTATACTCAACAAAAGAGCATCGATTATTTTGATACATACTCTCCTGTAGCCCGAATCTTAACTATCCGAGTATTATTAGCCTTTGCTACTATCCATAAGCAGATCATACATCAGATGGATGCCAAGATTGTTTTTCTAAATGGTGATTTAGATGAAAAAATCTATATGCACCAACCTGAAGGTTTCATTGCTAAATGTCAGGAAAATAAAGTCTGCAACAAATGTCAGGAAAATAAAGGCTTGTTAAATTCTTGTATGGTCTTAAACAAGCTCCTAAACAATGGCATCAGAAATTTGACAGAGTCATTGCATAATATAGATTCACTATGAATGAACACAATAAGTGTGTCTATTCTAAAGTGATAAATAATGACTATGTCATCCTCTGTCTCTATATTGATGATATCTTATCTTTGGAACAACTCTTGAAGAAGTCTTAAAGGTTAAGGATTATCTCCAAGAACTTTGACATGAAAGACTTAGGTCTTGCCGACATAATACTTGAAATGAAAATCACTAGAGACACTAGAGGGATATCATTGAGTCTTTCTCATAGTATTGAGAAAATACTTATCAAATTCAATTTTCATAACTCTAAACATGTTTCTACACCTTATGACTCTTCTATATCTTTGAAAAAGAATAAAGGTGAACATGTCCTGAAGTATTCTCAGCTGATTGGATCTCTTCTATACATATCCAACTGGACTAGACCCGATATAGCTTATCCTATAGGGAGACTGAGTTGGTATACCAGCAACCCTAGAAAAGATCATTAGATTGCCTTAGAGAGAGTTTAAATACTTGAAAGGCACAGTTGATTAATGCTTGACTTACATTGGGTACCCTGATGCTATAGAAGGGTATAGTGACGTCAGCTGGGTCTCAGATTCTAATAGTATAAAGTCTACATTTAGATATGTATTTTTTTATGGTGCTGCTGTATCCTAAAAATCCTGTAAGCAAATAGTAATTGCCAGGAACACCATGGAGTTTGAATTGATTTATCTTGATACCACTTGTACAGAAGCAGAATGGTTAAAAGATCCACTCTTTGAACTTTCTTTGGTCCCTAAACTCTCTTCTCCAATTTCCATTTCTGATTCTAGATCCATCATAGAGCTTCTACAGCAAGAGCATGTAAATAAAAAACTTAACATACATATTCAAATAAAGATATAAATCTATATAACGCTTACTAGGCAAAGTTGTGATTCTAGACTTTATAAAGTCTTAGAAGAATCTTGCTGACCCTTTGACTAAGGGTTTATTCAGGAGTGTGATTCTGGATTCATTGAGAGAGATGGGGTTAAGCCCGTAAGTGAGGTCACTGACAGCGGGAACCTAATCTTTATTTGGAGACGTAGTCCCAATATAGGTTCAATGTGGTAGAAACAAGCTGGACTGGTGACACTATGTGGAGCATCGATCTAGATATATTCATATATCCTTATAGTAGCATTTACTGCTTCCCCTTCTATATGGTGACGATGCCCTTATGATACAACTGGTTAGGTTGAGTTTTACTCTTAATAAGTCCAACGCGTGTATTACGGAGGGTATGATATCCAGCTGTAGTATCCTTAGAGGACTTACCTATGTGAGAGGAACCGTGATGGTTGTGGTTTGGAGGGCTGGGCCGAGAGCTACCTCTCCCGAATTCACGATACGAAAGGTTGCCCAACCTATATTTGTTTTATTATTTATTGATCTATTTATTGATTTTTGTGTTTTCAGTCAAATATTGCCTTTTGGGGGGGACTGTTGGCTATATTGTGGGAGAAAAGGTAATTTTGCCTTCTTGAATAGTCCCACGTGGACTAAGGAGATGAATAGCAGAGGGTTTATAATGTTCTCTTCTTATTGGGCTTTGAATAGTGTTTTGGGCTTTGTATTGTCTGGGATTGCATAACACGCGCGCACGCCTCGCCTTGCCGCAACGCGTGCGCCCCGCTGCACCGCACGCGCACGTTTTTTTTGTTTTGTCAAACTTTATTTTACACGTTTTTCACATGTGTAACAGCTGCTCGATTTCGGAGATCATGCAAACGGATGAACTTGCGTAACGTCTAGAGATCATGCGGAGAGTTACGCGGATTATTAGAAACGTGCGTGAATTTTGAGCAACGACTCTCAGGGTTCTGACCCCTATATAAACAGCCCAAGACCCTATTCAGAGGCACAACAACGAAAACAAAAGTTCTCTTCTTTTTCTCAAAAAACAGAGCTTTCTTTGTTTCTTCCTCTCTCTAAAATTCCTCGGTTATTGTTAATTTTATTTGAGAAACTATCTTCATCTGAGCAGAAGCTCTGCACTCTCGTCCGAGTTTAGAGGTCGACCGATTCCGGGGGTTTTTACCGCTAGGGGAGAGAGAATTATCTGTGCCAGGACGATAGGCGGATCCATAATCTTCTAGGACAGTGTTTACACGACTGCTCCCAATCAGGCCAGATTTTCTTGTTTTCTTTAATTCGGATTTGTGCATGCTATAACCTTATTTTGATTATTATCTAACAACACCAACATGGAAACTTTCCAAATGAAAGGACCCATTGGTGTGCCTCTGACGTGAGTCACGTGACACAAATCAAAACCACTACACCCCATATCATCAACATACCAAAATCATAGCAATGACTTGAATGTGAGTCAACAGCATGCCGAGGACACAACTCAAATAATATGGAGCGACACATCAGTTCCTGTTTACTGTAATAGAAAGTATATTCTGAAAACAGAGTATAGAAGTATAAATCGCGTTGAAAACAATTTTATTTGAATACTTTTGTTGTTTTCTAGTCTTCTAAGCTATTCATTGCAATTGTAGAAGAAGCTTGCTTTCAATTAAATTTTAGTTTGATGCATAATCTTTTTTAAAAAATGGATATCTTTTAGGTTCAAATTGCCGGAGAATTCGATACCAAGGGAGGCAGCATACCAGATCATAAGTGATGAACTGATGCTGGATGGAAACCCTAGATTGAATCTTGCTTCATTTGTGACGACATGGATGGAGCCTGAATGTGACAGGCTCATCATGTCTGCGATCAACAAGAATTATGTCGATATGGATGAGTATCCTGTTACTACTGAGCTCCAGGTGATATTGAGATGTCCATAAGAGTTTCCATAGTGTGAAGTTCCTGTTGGTTTTCATTATCCTATTAGTTCTTTGCTTGAATTCTCGTTGCTAAACATGCAGAAGTTAGTTGTAAATAGTCATTAATAAGGTGCTCTTATGAGAGTCTAGGTTCCATCAATAGTCCCACTTCTCTTAATGATGAAGATGATGTTCAAACTGTTGGAAATTTTCTGATCAAGATAACTCTGCAAATAATTTTAATGTAGTTCTTCCCTTATCGGAAATTCATCCTTTGTTTCCGACCATATTCACGTGGCTAGAAAAGGCAAATTAAAGTTGTCGGAGTGAACATGTTTTCATGTATTTTTCATTATTCGTTAACCTTCCTCTGATATTTGTTAATAGTTCATTCAATTTTCTTTTTTATGTCCCTTGTACAGAATCGGTGTGTGAATATGATTGCCCACCTTTTTAATGCTCCTATTGGAGGGAAAGAAACTGCAGTAGGAGTTGGAACTGTGGGATCATCAGAAGCAATAATGTTAGCAGGACTGGCATTCAAACGAAAATGGCAGAACAAAAGAAAGGCTGAGGGAAAGCCTTACGACAAACCCAACATTGTCGTCGGTGCTAATCTTCAGGTACACTAGTAAACTTCCATAAACTGTGACATGACATTCAATCTGACAACACTTGTAATGTAATGTGTTATATATAGGTATGTTGGGAGAAATTTGCTAGGTATTTTGAAGTTGAGTTGAAGGAAGTGAATCTGAGGGAAGGTCTTTATATAATGGATCCCGTGAACGCTGTGGAGATGGTAGATGGCAATACGATATGTGTTGTTGCCACCTTCGGTTCAACTCTCACCGGAGAGTTTGAAGATGTCAAGAAAATCAATGAGCTCCTTGTGGAGAAGAATAAGGAAACTGGGTAAATATATGTTCAGCTTATCTTATGTGTTACTGCTACTTTTGGTCGACTAATTTTCTGAAATCATTGTATAAACTAATTCATTTGTGCTTTAATAGGCTTGACAAGTAATGTGGTTTGCCTTTTAACTTGCTTTTCGTAATATCTGTTGGGTTAGTGGGCAATTTGTAGCACTTATGTTTCTGATTTTCCTTTAGATTGCGCTTGCACATCAAATTTTACTGAATTTTTTAAGTATATGAATTAGTAACTATAGCATATGGTCTTAAATTCCAGTTGTCTAATTCTTGTTTGGACTATCTCTAGTAACCTAAATGATAAAATTCATAAACTACCATGAAAATTGGGGTGTTTTCAACAAAACAATCATAAACTTTGTTTAATAGAGAAAAGTTCGATAAACTATTTTCACTGAAGTATCATGACAACAGTTGGGGAAAGTTGTCATGTCTGAACATGTTTTTGAAAAAATTTCTCTTATGTGGATGAGAATAAGACACCTCACTACCAAGCACAAAATTTGTGATTGGTATCAAGCATACCCATTTTTTTCTATCTATATATATATATATGTGTGTGTATATATATATATATATATAGAGAGAGAGAGAGCAAAACTTGTGTCAACTTAAGTAGATAGCAAAAAGTTGTCCATCAACCTTTTTAGCCATTCATATTGCCTAGGGATCCTTGCATGATATGAAAAATTTTTTATATTAATAAATGAGTGGCTAAGAAGTTTGGTGGACATCAACTTAAGTTGATAGGAGTCTTACTATATATATATAGAGAGATTAATGAGTATCCTTGTCATAAAGAGATTAATGCTATCATCAATGTCCCGTAGTTCATTATGTTTTCTGCAGTTTTTAAAGGTCACGTCAGTTTTGTGAAATTTACTTAATTTATACTTCTACTCTAATATTATGCAGGTGGGATACCCCAATTCATGTAGACGCCGCAAGCGGTGGATTCATAGCCCCTTTCCTATATCCCGAACTTGAATGGGACTTTAGGTTACCACTAGTAAAGAGTATCAATGTCAGCGGTCACAAGTACGGTCTTGTTTATGCTGGTGTTGGTTGGGTTGTTTGGAGGAACAAAGATGATTTGCCTGAAGAGCTCATTTTTCATATCAACTATCTCGGAGCAGATCAACCTACTTTCACTCTTAACTTCTCAAAGGGTAATATACATCGGTTTTTGATTCTTGCAGGTTCTAGTCAGATAATTGCTCAATACTATCAGTTCATACGCTTGGGGTTTGAGGTAAGCTCGGAAAACCCTCCCTATCAATATTTCCAAGGCTATAAAAGCCATACTTTACCTCTTCATTTCTAGTCTAGTCTAATAATAATCTAATTTCAATATAACCCTTAATCTGCGATAGGGTTTCTTTCAAGGAACCACCCATGCATATATTAGGCCCTATTTTATGTTACCACCCTTGCATGTCAATATTCTGTCAACACACACCCACATACGCCCACTTACGTCCGATTTTCCAACCAAAAAAACTTGTTAGACGAATTTACACATATCTACTGCAGGAGCAACAGGTACTTGTGTAAATCTGTTGATCAACACTCTTTTTGATGGAAAATGGACGGAAGTGGGTACAGGTGGTTATACGTAAGGAGTGGCATTTTGAGAGCCGGGTAGATAAGGGTGGTCACGTGAAATGGGGCCTAATTTAGGTCCAGTTTCTTGATTATTTAAAAAAAAAAACCTTTTTCAATACATCTGGGAGTACGGACGATTGTCAATGACCACAGTTTTCTTGTTAAACTTAGCTCCATACAAATTGAAACAACAAAGGGATCAAATTGTCACTTTTCGAACTTCAAGATAGATTTTCTGCATATCCTGCTTTTCTCTTTTACTGACACCAAAATGTGCATGCACTTCTCTGGCAACCAGGAGAATATGTTCTAAGAAACTTATTAACTAGCGAAAATAGATACAGATATACAAATGCAGATCAAACTTATTTGTGCAGGGTTACAAAGACATCATTGTGAACTGTATGGACAACGCGAAGTCACTGAGACAAGGCATAGAAGAAACAGGAAAATTCGAAGTCCTCTCCAAAGACTCCGGTGTCCCTGTCGTCGCCTTCGCCCTCAAAAGCACAAGCGAACATACTGTATTTGAAATATCTGAGAATATGAGGAGGTTCGGATGGATAATCCCAGCCTATACGATGCCACCTGATGCTGAGCATGTGGCTGTACTTCGAGTGGTGATAAGAGAGGATTTCTGCAGGAGCCTCGCTGAGCGACTTGTCTCCGACCTCAGGAAGGTCTTGGTCGATGCAGAAGGAGTACAGGCCGATGATGGTGGATCAGAGAAGAAGGCAAAGTATTGGAGGAGAGTGGTTGACAGGAAGAAGACCAGTGGCGTTTGTTGACGTGTTTCTTGTTGAAGTATGGTGTATAAGTTCATCTGTGTAATTATAAGTGTGTATGGTGTTGAACTATGCAAGATTTGGGTAGGCTTTTATGTTGTCTTTTATATTTATGTTTGGCATGTTTCCATGGGAGTTGTGGGGGATAAATTTTCAAAACCAACCTGTTTATCAAAAAATTTCCAAAAAAAGATCCGTTTCAAACTTAATTTCAAAAACCAACCCAGTTGGGCTAAAACTAGGTCGGTTTTTGAAAAAAAAATCTCAAACTTCACGAGAGTTGAAGTCCCGTGAAGTTTTGTTATATAAAAAACTTAACGGGATTTTAACTCCCGTGAAATTTGGGAATTTTTTTTTTTTCAAAAACTGACTTAGTTTTAGCCAACTGGGTCTATTTTTGAAATTAAGTTTGAAATGAATCATTTTTTGGGAATAAAATTCAAAACAGGTCGGTTTTGAAAATTTGTCTGAGTTGGGAATGCAACATATCAAGAAGAGTTTTTGAGAGTGACCTTGAATGGTAGGGTGGTTAACTTCCATTTTCGGCTATGAGAAGCTCCTTGAATTTGTGTCTGTTGTCAAACTTCTCCAAGCACAACCTTTTGAATGAAGAAGTGCGTATAATGGATAAAATTTTAAAATAACGAGCATTAATTATAAAAGAGATAAATGACGTATAGGGGATGGAATGTAGCTGTCTCAATCTGAGTAATATATCTTAGTGTGTCGTTAAATGTTATCAGATAGTTGTGAATGAAGAATGTATTGTCCACAAATTAGGCAATAGAAAAGATCTAAATTACTCCCAATTAAAGGCTCCATTGGGTCCTGAGTTCCATTTGGCAGTTTGTTTCTTGCAAGTCAGCAAGCCAACTTGCTCTTGCTCAGGATCTTCATACAAACTCCATTCTCAATGACTCATTATCGACAACTTCCAAATTTAAACATTCAATAACTAAGAAGCATCCAATATAAGTACACATGATATTGTATTGAGAAACAATCTATTATGAAGTGAAAAACACGTGATCTCGTATTGAGAGAAAAAAAATCTAAAATCCATACTTTATTGCCTTCGCCTCGTTCAACCTTGCTAATGTATCACAATTGCTTATAGAGAAGTTATCCCAAATGTGATGCAAGAAAATAGTATATTGTTCACTTTTCAGAACATTTTCCCAATTCCGTCTTCCCTTGGGACAGTTTCATCAATCTGCATCTTTTGACATTTACCAATCATTGACGCCATCTGTTCGGTTTTGTCATATAACCCTAGGAGGCCTCCCGTGTGGATGAAGAGGACCTTCCGTCCCTTCCACTTTGTAGGGTTCTCGGCCATGTCTTTGAGCATATTATAAGCAGCTTTTCCACTGCAACAACACATACAAAATTAATTAAGATCATTTTGTTTTGGGTTAGCTGTAAATATGCCCCCTACCATAGGGGGTTATAGCCACTTACTACTCCTAGGCTTTTTTATTAGTACTTAGACCGCTCCCCGTTATTTGTACACACCACGTGGTTGTCATGTAGATAGTGTTGCAAAGAGACCCTTTAATGTTTGTGTATGTTGCAGAGAAACTCCATATTTCTCTTGTTAGAGTATAAAAGTACAACCCTCAACCCTCATTATAACATTTTGAGTTCTCGTGTAATGGCAAGGTTCTTTAACATTGTAGTTAACTTGTATCAGAGCAACCCATGTTCAACCCCCATGATCACCAATTTAAAGCGGATTTAAAGGAGACTGATACTATTATACAAGTCAAGGTTTCGACCATAAAAAGGACGCTCAACCCATAGGAGCATATTAGAGTATAAATATATAACTTTCAACCATCACTACAACTTCAGCTGGTATAGTGGCAAGGTCCTTTGACGTCCCTTTTAGGTGTTGAACATTTACCTCATATAAAATAGAGAGATAACTGTATAAGTGCTAATGAAATAATTAGGAGTAATAAATGGATAACCCCTATATAGTACATGGAGTGTGTATGAAATGAAAACCATTTATTTGTTAGAAGGTTACATGACCAGCCATGATTTAGGGGTACAGATCAGAATGTTGGGTAATTAAGGAACATGTGAAGGAAACGAAATAAACATAGTTGGGAATTGAATGTTGAGATCAATGGATAGCAAGATGCTAAAATATAAGAAATCATGGTAAACTTAAGAAGTTCATGGTAGTTTTAAGATACAAAAATACTTTCAGAACTTGGAATTTAAAGGCAAAATAAATATGGGACGGAAGTAAAATCCTCACCTGTAAACTGGGTCAAGCACCACTCCAGATGTTTCAGCTATATGTTTGACAAATTTTAGTTCTTCGGCAGTATTCATAGCATAGCCCAAGCCCTTAGCCTGTGGAGACAACCATTAATCAGTTGACTTATTATGCAATGAAATAAGCAGGTCTGATTTTTTTGTCAAGAAAAAATATTTCCCAGTTCTATGCTGATATAAAGGAATCGTACAACCGATTCTCATATGTATGATAAAAAATCATAGTCTAATACCAGTATGTTCAAAGAAATTCCTACTGTGTTTTTATTCACACAAATAAGTGATCACATTTAGAAAGAGTGACATGGAGTCAACCCATCGATTGATAAGTTGCAAACCATTAAACAAAGAAATGATTATTAAGGATAAGAATGATATACCTTATTCTCTTATGCTAATGATCCTAGATTTCCCACAGTAACACCTTCACATTATAAAACTTTTCTAAGCAGGTCTTCATATAGAAAGTCTTAAACACGCCATGATGAGAAAATTAGATCAGGTAAAACCATATAGCCAGAAATTATATGTATTTCCAAAAAAATTCTCAATAGGCCATCTTTTGTCAAGACTATAAGCATACTTGCAAAGGCTTCCTAAAGATTTTTAGTAAGGCATCAAAGCATCTCAAATAATAATACAAAATATATAATAGATAAAGTAAGTGCTTATGTAAAATGATACTTCTTGCTAAAACTCAGAAAATAGAACTGCCCACGTCATACTTTCAGAAAGTGAGAAAATAATTAATGTCTACTCTTTTTCATAGCATAAATATATAAACACACAAGCATAGGCGTAAACATAGTAACTCACAGAAAATAACTTATGTCTACCTTTTTCTTATAAATATATTAAACACAGAAGCAAAGAAGAGTGTACGTAGTAACTCACGTTTATGATGTTGGCTATATCATGTGAATCCATGCCAGCGTGAAGTCCATCAATTAGGCCTTGAACAAAATTGTAGAAATAATCGGGATCATCACAGACAGAGAATGCATGAACCTATTTTTATAAAAATTTGATAAGAATAGTTAATTCCAATTAAGAGTCTATAGAACAAGGTGAAATATAAGTTGTACCTTTGCCTTCAAGCTACTTAGTCTTGACCCTAGCGAAAGGCCAGCAATAGTTCCCCCACTACAACATTGCAAGAAAAAAATTTCTTACTAATCATGCATAATAATAGTGAATCCCAAAATTTTACGAAGACAAGCAAATGAACTACCTTTAAAGTATTAGATAGAAAATCCTAAGAGTTAAGTAAATTTTACATTTGGTAGATATGATGATTGAAAGATATCCTTGAGCTGTATGACAGTTTACTTCACACAAAATTTATAGGCGTAAAGTAGTACAAATACATCAAATAATTGAGGTAAAGGATATGTCCTCTAGTAGAAGGGTAAAAAAATTAAAATCACTGGGAGGATGGGCAAAATACTTCAAGAGAGTTAGGCTAGGTATAGAATAATAAATTTCAGAACAAAATAAGAGCACAAGCACAATTTTCCAGGTACTAAAACAAACATCCTCGTAATACCTGCCACATGCAACAACAATGTCGTCAATTTGGAATTTACCAGAACTCATTTGAGTTTGCTGCTCGATCTCTCTTACTGCTTCAATGTAGCCCCTGCAAGAGAACACATGTTAGTTATGTAGGAGAGCACTATAATTACAGAAGTATTTTCTATAAAGAATTGTTTCCTTATGATCAAAGCTCCCCTGAGAAAGGAAGAATCTTGTTCAAAGGATAATTAAATCTGTACCATATTACAAAAAAACATATAAAGATATTTAGAGGAAATATACCATGGCACAAGGAGGTTTGTATTATCTGAATCCAACCCAGTTGAGACCTGATCTTTACCCATCCCAAATTAGATATCTAGGCCAACAGATCACATATAGGTCCAAAAATTAAAAACTCCAAGATGTTAATAAACCTAAAAGACTTAATACAGTTAAAATAGGTTATAGTCTACAAAGTATCAATTATGACGGACACAGTCCTAACCCAAGATGAAAAAGATATGATCCGAACCTCACCCACAAAATGAACGGATTATGTCTCGGTTGAAAATGAAAACCGATTTATTAGGATCAGATCTGGGTCAAGAAAGACATGATCCGAACCTGACCCACTTGCAGTTTATTACCAGCTAATTGAAGAGAAGTGAAAATAATGAAAAAATGGATTTTCAAATGTCCAAATGATCTATCAAAATGCATAAATTCAATCATTACTTTTAGAAGGTATCCTAAATTATAAACATCTCTAAATCCGGATAAGCGAGATGTTTTTTCCTTTCCTTTTTGAAGGTTTTTAGCTCAGAATACTTGCAATTTGTTGCTCAACCATATTTCTGGTGATGAACCTTGAATTTTTTGGGTACAATCTCCTACAGTATTCGAAGAAAATTAAGATAAATATGTTTGCAGTTGCCTATAAAATTATAGTATATGCTTATAAAATTGTTCCAAAAGAACATATGAAAACTGCAATATATAGGAACGTAAATTTCTTAACACACAGAACGAGGGCATTACAATACTGAACTTACCAAGTTCCTAGAGAGTTTGATCCACCAACGGGAATAACATATGGCTTTCTTCCTTCACTTGTTAGTCTCTTTTTGAGCAACTCAGTGAGATTCTGGGTTCAAAAATGGCATTTATATGAAGTAGAAACATAAAGCATAGTGATGTAATTGTAATTTAGAGCAGATCAAAGTAACCACATGATTTTTCTGTAACAAGAGGCATTTTTTACAACACTATTTTTCACAATACTAATAGTGTATTCAAGTAATTTGATAGCAAAGTTCTTATCTTCTTTTGTGGTACCTTAAAAGATATATCTATGAGTCTACAAAATGGAATTGGTTTCCCTATGTGCAATATATGAACCAAAGATAAGAGGGTTTTCTAATATTTATCCTGAAAATTAATCTTTTGATATTGTCAATCCTCAAACAAACCCATATTGAGTTTTCTTTTTCCACAGTGAACTAACTTTAGCATATAGATGAGTGAAACTATCAATATTTTCATCCTTTAAAAATAATTACTTAAATTATTAATTAGACAATGAAAATTAAGAAATGAAGTTTGTACCTCTACTCAAAACAAAATTCTAAAAGGATCAAGCTTTAGATCTAATAATAATGCTTCAACAGTAACAATGTTTTCTCACTAATAACGAATATTGAGAAAGATCTTTCTCACTAATAACGAATATTGAGAAAGATCCAACTTTGCATCTAATAATAATACTTCAACAGTAATGACATCGTAATACTTTTTCTATGATGTTTTGATAAAGCATAAATAATATATATAGTTTGATCATATGTACCTATAGATCTATTTTTGTTATGCATCTTTGGACTTGGCTAATTACTCTTATTAAGAAATAATATTCTTTAAAAAATTCAAATGAATGAAACAAGTTTGTTCGAATGACACACTAAGAACCCATATAAATCTTCATTTGGTATTTCATTGAATAAAATTTACGACTCAAACGAGCTATACTCCAACACATAATGAAGTTGTTAGGATTTTCTCCTATTAAGGATTAGCTATTAAATTAAACATTTACTTTAGAGCACACTCATTATGCGCGTGCATGTTGGCTAGTGGTTAATAATTCAAGAACATAAAGCAAAAAAAGAATATTAGAGACAAAATATAAGAGCCCGACCTCACTGCCAATCTTGGCATATTCTTCCTTCGATACAAGTTCAACATGAGCCCCTACTAACCGCTCAACAAGAAGATTACCCGTCAAGCCTGGATCTTTGTCCACCAGGACCTGAATCATTCATATAATTATAGTCAATTGCACTGTAATATTTGGAAGGGTTGTTTTGCATATATACCCCTTTAAGTCATGCGTATTTGCAAAGCTATCTCAAAATCTCAGTGCTTGCAACACTAAACCCCAAAGCATCAATTTGGGGGTGGGGGGTGGGTGGGGTGGGGGGGGGGGGGTTACCCCCAAGCCAACAACATTTCAACTCTATTGGATTTAGTGTGCTAAAGTTCAACTATTTGTTAATATTTTTACAGTGCACTATTGCAGACTTGCAGTTAAAAATTAGTCTATAAAAGTTGATGATTTGTTATATTTGAAAGGGGAAAAAATTCAATGATCCTAATATTAACAAGGAATCTAGGAGAAGGCACCTTTGATGTGCGTAGTATTAGGTAACAATCAAGATTCAGATATCTTGCAGCCACAGCAGTAGCACGGCAATGGTTACTCTGAATTCCTCCTGCAGTAATAATGCAGTCGGCACCCTGCTCTACAGCATCCGCCATTAGAAATTCCAACTTCCTCACTTTATTACCGCTAAGTTGCATTCCTGAAAGATCATCCCGCTATATATAATTCAAAATTTCATTAGTTAATGAAAAATGAAAGGAAAGTGCAAAATTTATATTGTCAAAACACCATAAGGAATAGACTAAAGTTAGTTTGCACCTTTATCCAGACTTCAGTATTTTCTGGAAGATTAGGAAGGTTCCACTTGTGAATTGGAGAAGGAAGCTGGTGAGCAAATGAAAAAAGGCACGAGATTAAGACCAAAAACTAGTGAATAAAAATGGACAACATCAAAAGACAGTCGTTGATTTAGCTAATTCCTATATGAACTGTTTCCAATCACATCATAGCAAACAGAGAAGAGGAAAACAGGATTCTTATCTCTATTCATTCCCAATGCAAATTTTGTACTTTATATTTATCCCAAACTAGAAAACAACATAACCTTTAGTCTACAGTAAACCATCCCATACCACAAAACCTCCATTTTTAATCCAAACCCATAATGGGTATTGTTCCTTTCACTGCTTACTCAAAGATCAAACTTTACTGACCTAACCCTATTCATTCAAGTTAAAATCCATTACATAAGAACTTCAAAAATATCTCAGAAAATGAAATATTTTCTAATCACATTTTAACAAATACTGTATTTTATGATTCGCCCGAACCTAAAATATAACCTTTCATGTAACACCAAGCCTCTATCTTTAATTCAAACCCTTTCCGGTTTTGTTCTTCTTCCTAATTGCTAAAAGATCAACACCTTACTGATCATAAATCTGTTCATTCATAAATTAAAGCCATCACATAAGAACTTTACAAAAATCTCATAGAAATGAAATTTTTTTCCCAATCTCATTATAACAAGTTTTGTACTTTATAGTGGGCACAAACCTAAAACATAACCTATATTCTAATGATGAACCATCCTGTTACACAAACCCTCTATTTTTTTTAATCGAAACCCTTTCCAGATCTTGTTCCTTTTCCTACTTACTATAAGATAACACCTTATTGATTATAAACCTACTCATTCATAAATGAACCCCATTAGAAAAGGGGAAAAAACAACTCATAAAAAAAAAATCTTTTTCTAAGCACATTATAACAAATTTTGTGCTCTATATTTGGCCCAAAACTAAACTACCCCATCACCCAAATCCTTGAGTCTGAATCCAATAGTTTTATGGTTGCTGTTCCTTTTCCCAATGACTGAAAAGATCAAAAAGCAATGGTTTCAACCAGTAGCATGATAGTCAAAAAATAGCAACATAAAATAAGATATCTTCCTGTAATTCCAAATTAAAATACATTATATAGAAATTGAATTTTTTTTTAATTAAATCTTTTTCCAGATTACTAAAACCTCTATTTTCAATCCAAATGCTTTCTGGTCTTGTTCCTTCCCTGAATTACTAAACAATCAACAAGCAAGCGTTCAACCGGTCGCACTAATGGTAAAAAAAAGCCTTTCAAACATAGATAAGATCTTTTCCTGCAATTCAAAGTTAAACCCATTACATGAAAACTCAAAAAAGGAAAAAACTTAAAAATGAAAAGGGCTTACAGGGCAAGAGAGCAAGTATGAGAAGGAATTGGGTTGAGATGTGAAGCCCAAGATGGAGGGTTGTAAGACTTCTTTGATAAGAAACGCCCAATTTGATCAGTGGGTTTTGAGCTTTCCATTAGAAAAGAGGAGATTGGGCTCTTAGCGGCTTTCTTCTTTTTTGAGAAATTGGGAGCAGAGGAAGAGGAGAGTTTGAACTAGCAGATGAAGCAGAAAGTCCTAGATAATAGAGAGTTATTTGATTCAATCCCCCAAGTCTTGGATAACAGAGAGTTATTTGATATACTTTATGTTTTGTTGTTGTAGATATGGTTCATCAAGTAAAATAAATTTTCTTAACTCTATATCTCCAAATAAAGATTTCTACTTCATATTTATCCCAAACCCAAATATCAACACTCTACTGACTTAAACCTATTTATTCATAAATTAAATCCAATACATGAGAACACTTAAAAAAATCTCACAAAAATGAAACCCGTTTCTTATCACATTCTAACAAATATAATACTTTATATTTAACCTGAACCTAAACTATAAACATTTTACCTAATATTTAAGCATCCCATCACACAAAACCTCCATCGTTCATCAAAACCCTTCAAATTTTCATAAATGGTTTTTGTTTAAATCACATTATAACAAATTCCTGTATTTATTTGGACAGTATTTATTTGGGACAAACCTAAAACATAACCTTTAACAATCTCATACTAAATCACCCCATCATACAAAACCCGTAGTTTTGATCCAAACTCTTCCCCCCTGATTACTAAAGTATCATAAGCCGACTCATTCATAAATATGAAACCCAACACGGCAACACATTAGAACTTAAAAGAAAATTCTCGTAAAAAAACAAAACCTGTTTCTAATCAAATCGTAAACCTAAACCACCCAATCACTCAAACCCTTGATTTTTAATCAAAAACTTTTGCATGGGTCTTGTTCCTTTTCCTAATTACTGGAAAAAATGGAGCTTTAAACATAAAAATAAAATCTTTTCCTGCAATTCAAAGATAAACACATTACATGAAAGGAAAAAAAGAAAAGAAAAAGAAATCGGTGGAAAGGGCTAACATGGGCAAGAGAGTAGGTACTGGAAGGAATTGGGTTGAGATGTGAAGCCCAAGATGGAGGTTGATAAGGCTTCTTTGATAAGAATACTCCAATTTGATCAGTGGGTTTTGAAGTTCCCATTAGAAGAGAGGAGATCGAGCTGCTGCTGCTGCTGCTTCGTCTTCTTTGAGTTGAAGCAGTGGATGAAACAGAAAGGGAAATTACCGGTCGGAGAAAAAGAGGTGAGCTCATGATTTGCCCAAGGAGCTATTAAATTTTTTTTTTAATCCGTCCCCTCACCTGTATGGTCTCAATTAGGACAAATTTTCAAAACAATCCCTTTTGTAATTTTATTCTCAAAAAACGACCCTTTTAATTTTTATTTGTAAAAATCGACCTGGTTTCAGCCTCAACGCTAAAATCAGATCGGTTTTTACAAAAAAAGTTCTGAAACTTTACGGGATTTGAACTCCCGTGAAGTTTAGTAGTGTTTAATTAAGCTGCTAAACTTTACGGGAGTTGAACTCTCGTGAAGTTTCTTGGTTCAAAAATAATTTTTTTGAACTGTGAAACTTCACGAGAGTTGAACTCCCGTGAAGTTTAGCAGCATAATTAAAAGCTGCTAAACTTCACAGGAGTTCAACTCCCGTGAAGTTTCGGAATTTTTTTTGTAAAAACCGACCTGGTCTCAGCGCTGAGGCTGAAACCAGATCGGTTTTTACAAATAAGAGAGAAATGAGTTGTTTTTTGGGAATAAATTTGCAAAAGAGGTTGTTTTGAAAATTTGTCCGTCTCAATTATGATTTGGTTCTTTTCCAAAAAAAAAATTACGATTGGGTTTTGGTTTATGTACCCGTATAAAGTACGGCCCTTGTTATTTCTAGTATTCCATTTTGAATGTGTGTTCCTCTAAGTTTTAATTATACATTTGATTTACTTCGATTTTATTATTGTATATTTAAAATTAATAATCATATTAAAAGAAATTTTATAAGAAAACTCGTCATCTAAATTCTACAACTATAAATTTTTAAATTATCAATATCCTAACTTTAGGTTGAAATTCCGATGCAATTTATTAATAGTTATTTGCGAACCGTCCCTTTCGTCATAGTTATTGTTCACATTTTTCAATATGATGCTATTTTTCAAAACAACCTAAGGTTAGTTGTTTATAAAAATTTTATGATGTATTATTCCAATTTGAATTAAAATATTGATGGTTATTGGTGTAGTGACAGAAATACATTATCATGCGGGTGTTTTTCGATGAGGAAAATATGAGAAGAATGTAAAATACATGTTTGTCTACCTTGATGATTATTCAGGTGCTAATTTTGAGGCTTGCGTCCAAAATATTTAGAAGCAGTAAATGATAGTTGTTTATGTGTTGGTGGTCAAAATGGTGTTTTTATTTGTCCTTCTAGCAAGGTTAAAGGAAAGAAATGAAAAAGAAGCAAGCTTTTGACGTGGAAGGCAATAAATCTTTTAAGCAATTCATGGATTATTTAATTTAGTTGAGATTTTTTTTTTGTTATCAAAACTTTACATATCTTAATAGTTTAGATGGTATAGTTGTAGGGTGAAAATTTGATTCTTCCGAAGGAAGGAGTTTCGTTTGTATTTATAAGAAAGCTTATTACAAACTAACAAATCAAATATTTACAACAGAAGCAGAGGGAAGGCCCTCTTTGTTTTGTGTGGGGACTTTAGGTGGCGATAGGATGCCTCGCTCGGTGCTCGTGCCGAGTCTGCTTCCCTTGGACGATCCGATCGAAGTTGATGCCGGAGCCGGAGCTTCGGTTCTCAAATGAGGGAGCCTTTGGCAAAGGTCCAGGTTCAACCTTTGGGAGATTAGCCAGCAGAATATGCAACGGCCAATCCCCCTTCTTCATGCTGCTGAAGATGGGTTTTAACAGGCAAGGGATGGCATGGGCTCTCCCTTGATTCATGGGATTTGACCACTAATAGAGGTGAGGGAGATAGCTTGACTGCTCCTTGAATTATGGGATGTGACCACACGTTGTTCGGAGACGTCCTGCTGTTCATTCGTACCGTCAATGGTCATTCGAAGAGCTGTGCTCTGCATCACGCTACATAGGAGTGGGAAAGCCCCTTCTCGTATGCGTGACAACGGCTGTCAGATGCTTGCGTGGATCTGACCAACCACCGAGCGTTGGCGGCTCTCGTCCCTTCACCTGGACAACTGAGGTGAGCCGCATTTATGAGGGTGCAGGCTGTTTCGGCGCCTGTCCGCTCATTCGTACTGTGGACGGCCATCTGACGGGCCTGGAGTATTGTGCCCTCTCCCTTGATTTGTGGGATTTGACCACTGATGTAACTGTTCCCATACTCCAAGTGGGCAGTTGACAGTGAGCTGGCGAGTCTGCAGCTTGGGTCTGCAGGCGAGCTTAGGACTGCAGGCAGACTTGGGTCTGCAGGCGAGCTTGCAGGCGAACTGGGTCTGCAGGTGAGTTTGGGACTGCAGGCGGACTTGGGTCTGCAGGCGAGCTAGCAGGCGAACTGGGTTTGCAGGCGAGCTCAGGTGCGCAGGCAGACTTGGGTCTGCAGGCGGATTTGGGACTGCAGGCGAATTTGAGTTGCAGGCGAGCTCCTGAGCATGGATTGAAGAATAGGCCGTAACTTTCAAACCGTAAGTCGGAATTGGACGAATTATATATGAAAATCGCCTATCTCGACGAGATGGAGCCATCCGAACCAAGCCGATTCGCTTCCTCCGTTTTGCCAAATTCCTTACGGTTTGGGAGATATCTGCGTTTTCCCCTTTTTCGCTATTTCGGGTGAGGTTTTAGCAGTTTTGTTCTGAACTTCTCTGATAAGGATTTAAAGGCAATTTTTATTGCCTACAAAACCCCCTCCAAAGTTTTCAGACCTGAATCAGGCCGCATGGGGTCTGGAACACTTTGGATATGAAGTCCCGTAAAGTGATCCCTGCTCTTCACTCGCAGCTGATGATCGCCTTCTAGGATTTTGAGCAAACCCTCAGCTATCAACGGACTTGATTTGTCTTTACCAACTGCCGTTTGAGTTGGACTAGCCATGCTCTTGCCCTTAGCATGGTAAGTTGTCGAGGAGTCTCTCTTAGGCTCAATGCTAAAATTTCTCCTCTATCCTTAGCCTTTCGAGGCGTTTGGATTTAAGGGAGCAGTTTAACCTCGTATACCAGTCGGAGGGTAGGAGCAGTTTAGACTCATGCACCAGTTGGAGTGTAAGGGGGCAGTTTAGACTCATGCACCAGTTGGAGTCTAGGGGGGAAGCTTATCTTAGGGCAAAGATGAAGACGAACCCTGATTTGTCTTCTCTTGGGGCAAAGACGAACCCTGAAATAGCAGCACATCGCATAGTAGGCCACTATCAAACAACAACGCCTTTTATGGGAAAGACGGTGCTGGGAGAATCAAATCGTTCAGGGACGTATGAGTGTGACGATTGATTGGACAACATCATTTGCGGGAATGATGGTGTCGGCTATCAGAGGTAATCGTTAACATGATAGGGATTGCCGCGATCGGAGCGACTTTGAGGACCTACCATCCTTTTGAAGAGGATTGGTAAGTTGATTTGTCAGAGGTGACCGTTAACATGACAGTGGGGGTCCCGCCATCCTATTGAAGAGGATTGGCGGGGGATTGTGGCTTTGGTCCTAACTATCTGAAGGTTTGACCAAGTGGGAGTTTGATGCAGCCCACCTGAACTGCTAGTCTCGCCTGTTTTGAGCGGTTCGCCATAACCGGGAACCTGGCTCAAGAAGTGGGGCTCGCCTAAACTGTTAAACTTGCCTGATTTGAGCGGTTCGCCGAAACTGGGAACCTGGCTCAAAGAGATGGGCTCGCCTAAACTGTTAAGCTCGCCTGATTTGAGCGGTTCGCCGAAACTGGGAACCTGGCTCAAGAAGTGGAGCTCGCCTAAACTGCTAGGCTCGCCTGATTTGAGCGGTTCGCCAAAAATGGGAACCTGGCACAAAAGGTTGATTCCCCCCAAGCTTGAATAATAATTCAGGCTGTCGTGGGGGATGAGGGATTGTGCCTCGAGACGAGCGAGAGCTTTTCGTCGTCGCTGTTTGGATCTTTTTGAACGAGGAGCGTTCATGTCGACGACGGAGGCATATTCTGCGTCGACACAAATGGTTGATTCCTCTTGCACAGGGGTCTGCGAGGATCGTTCAGCGACCCATTCAGCAGCCCCTAGACCTGCATTCTCGAATCTCGGCTCGGCCTCAACTGGTTCGGGGGGAAAAGAACCCCCTGCCTCGGCTTGGGTAGATCCCTCAGGCTTGGTTGCCTCAGCCTCTTGGGGCTGGGCCACCCGCACGACTCTGCAACCATCGCGAGATGTATTGCTGCGAGAAGAGGACGATTGTAAGTACCCTTCGAATTTGATCACAAGGGACTCAACAGTAGTCCCTGCAGCAACTTCGTCAGACTGCGCCACCACCAATTCATCTGAGTGAACGGATTCTCCCACTGTGGTCGCCATCTTTTGTAGGGTGAAAATTTGATTCTTCCGAAGGAAGGAGTTTCGTTTGTATTTATAAGAAAGCTTATTACAAACTAACAAATCAAATATTTACAACAGAAGCAGAGGGAAGGCCCTCTTTGTTTTGTGTGGGGACTTTAGGTGGCGATAGGATGCCTCGCTCGGTGCTCGTGCCGAGTCTGCTTCCCTTGGACGATCCGATCGAAGTTGATGCCGGAGCCGGAGCTTCGGTTCTCAAATGAGGGAGCCTTTGGCAAAGGTCCAGGTTCAACCTTTGGGAGATTAGCCAGCAGAATATGCAACGGCCAATCCCCCTTCTTCATGCTGCTGAAGATGGGTTTTAACAGGCAAGGGATGGCATGGGCTATCCCTTGATTCATGGGATTTGACCACTAATAGAGGTGAGGGAGATAGCTTGACTGCTCCTTGAATTATGGGATGTGACCACACGTTGTTCGGAGACGTCCTGCTGTTCATTCGTACCGTCAATGGTCATTCGAAGAGCTGTGCTCTGCATCACGCTACATAGGAGTGGGAAAGCCCCTCCTCGTATGCGTGACAACGGCTGTCAGATGCTTGCGTGGATCTGACCAACCACCGAGCGTTGGCGGCTCTCGTCCCTTCACCTGGACAACTGAGGTGAGCCGCATTTATGAGGGTGCAGGCTGTTTCGGCGCCTGTCCGCTCATTCGTACTGTGGACGGCCATCTGACGGGCCTGGAGTATTGTGCCCTCTCCCTTGATTTGTGGGATTTGACCACTGATGTAACTGTTCCCATACT